TAGCACAAATAATACCTTGATAAGCACCAGTAGTGCCATCATCCCTGTAATTAACATTAGTAGAAGCCGGGGTTACAGATGGTTGACTGACTGGATCATCACTGTATGGCATAAACTTGTTCCATCCTGTTTCCCTCGTGGGTTGTATAGAGGATAAGCTAATGGGTCATAACAACCATGGTATGCTCGGATATATTGCGGACGACAATCCATCCTTCCATATACAGCCACACTCCTATCAAAACATCTCTGTGGATCGTTCCCCTCCATCCAGACAGCAGCAACTTGGGTTGCCGTTGGGGCATTGTACCTTCTCTGGTTAGGCGTGACATTTGTATTGAGTTCAATCCAGTAGTCACCCAAGTTTGGAAAAAGCACCATTTCTCCTAAAAGTATGAACATATGGGTTATCCTACAAAATTGTAAGTATATTTTGGATGAGGTTGATATCAAGATCAGGGGACCTTTTGACTCTGTGTGACAAGGCCTCATCATCTGTATCATAAAAGTAGAGCTGCAGATGTCGAGGGCCGTGGCCACCTGGCACCAGGTGATCTAGACGATGGTACAACCCGCCATGAACTCAAAATGTATAAATATTGGTCCCTACTGGAGTGTTATATCTGCAGTCAAGGGTAACCCCTAGGCTTGCGAATGTGAAATGCGAGTTGAGATATCGTATATGTTGCCTGAAATATTTTGCATCATCATGCACTCGACTTGTAAACAACCTTTTTAGCTCTGCAGGAACCTCCGGTATATGTATTTTTATTTTTCCTTTTCTACAACAAAACCCGGGTGGCTCATACTGAAACCTCATCGCACCACAGTAATGGCAGTCAGGGACATTTCTCAACCTATGTCTTTGTGGCAGGTTCTGGTAGATGAATTCATATGGATCATCCGTCACACTATGTGCAGCCGCACCCTCTACAAGCACGCGATATGACTCATAATCATGACCTGTGTGCGAGACATTATAGTAATCAAAATGACGTATATATCCTTCATGTAAAGACATATATTATTTTACTATATAATAGAGATAAATATTATGGTTCATGTAAAGACGTATATAATCACTCAAGAAATCAGAGATGACATATAGATGTCATTGTGGTACCTCGCGTATGTCGATGAATGGTTCCATCATCATCGTATAAGTCTTCATTGTGCAATCCATGACTGGCGTCCATGCCAGCTTCGTCACTGTCTTCTCCATTATGTGTTGGTTCGAATAGTTCAGGGTCGAATTCATCCCCCTTGCTGTTGCCACTTACATGGTTGCCACGCAGCTGATGCAAATGAAATTCTACATAGATATATAATATTATATAATATATATAAGAATAATAAAAAATATATGATGATGGTTTTATTTTGTTAACAGAGAAAAAATCAAGGATGTGGTTGATGTGCTGACCTGCATCGCCGGAAGTAGGTAATGGTCGAGAAAGAACCGTACGTGGGCCTCTACGCCCTGGCACATAATTATCATTTCTGTGTAGCCAATCTATGGGCTCTGTTGTCTGGTCATTTTCCACTATAGTCGATAATCCAGTTCCAAAATTCGCACCTTCACATATGAATGGAGGTTCATGATATATCAGGCGGTGGACGAAATGCATAGGTTGTAGATATTTCTCACCTGCTGATGAGGGTGCCGGCCCTATTTGAGCCACAACAGCTGCGGTGCTACTATTTTGCAATTTAGCCTTCTTCCGTGCTCGGTATTGACATTGTACTCCCGGTGTCTCCTTTTACTCTCTTCCCTTTGTTCGTCGGTCATCTCAGCTCTTCGTTTCCGTTGTTGCGCGTTCTTTTCGTCCATCTTATCGTCCATCTTATCGTTAGCTATGTCTGCAGGTCCCGCCGTCCAAGAGACCGTCGAGGCACGTGCTGATAAACATGAAATTGAAGCAAAATTTGTTGGGAATCAGTGCATCACAGCAACAACATGATATAGTGATACACCTACTACTAAGGTCCACAGAAAGACAAGACAACCTAAAAAATCTAGATGCTAGAAATATATAAGGACATAACGAAGAACCATTTTTGGCACACCTAATAAGTGATAATTATTGATAAGCTGACATGATTATGGACTCCATAGAAATAGGCAAGGTTCACTGTCCATGAGTTTTCTTTGCTTGTGTGACTTAGAGATCCAATCTTGAGACAAGGCAAGAGGACCCGAAACAATTATTCCTAGCACTGACAGAACAAGCCGACAATAATGATCGCCTTCAACTAACACTCACATGGTGCAGCTGCTCTGGCATGCCGCCCCCGGTTCAAATCTACTCCCTGCGTTTTTTCCTGGAGGGAGGGAGTACTGTCCTATTCATCACCAGCCCGCCGGCGGCGATAGGGTGCGTGTCCGTGTCGTGTGTGCATGTGCGCCGAGCAAATACCCTGCCCGGCCCCTAGGCCCCAGCCGACATGGCTCGGCATCCCCAGCTGGATCACGCAGAAGTAAACGCCGCTTCCCCAATCCTCACCCCACCTCGTCCTCCTCTCCACTCTCTTCTCCCTCCAATAATTCTCTCCTCTGCTTGCTCCACCTCCAAGCACCACCGAATCAGGGAGCGAGTGGGAGCAGCGAGTGGGAGCAGAGGAGGAGGGAATCCCATGTCTCTGCTTTTTGCTGGAGCAGATCCTCGGTGAGTCGGCGTGGAGCTGCTGCGGCTACGGTAGAAAAGCTAGCTGAGCCTACGAGCGCCTGATCCGCCCGTGAGCCCGCAGCCAATCGGGATCGATGGGCGGGAGGCGCGGAGCCCCGGCTAACCTAACCCGCGCTACCGAGTATCGCCGGCGGGCGATCGCGCTAGGTTCCCGAGGAGATGCTTTTTGGTGATGGGGTTCGTCGAGGACCCGTGCGACCGGGAGGCCGTGTCATCGGTGTGTCCGCCCGGTGGCACCGCGTCGACGCTCTCTCGCGAAGCACGCGTCCACGATGCCCTTCTTCTCACGCCGTGTCCCGGCGGCGCGCTACTCGCGCGCGGTTCCCGCGGCTCGAGTCATCGGCCGTGAAGGGGAAGCCCCACGCCATGTGTACGGCCTCATACCCGACGACGGGGGCGCCTACGTGCCCCTGGGTCACCGATCTCGCCGCGCCGCTCGAGTGCCTCAAAGCGCTCCACCTCCAACGCATGGTCGTCAAGGATGATAACCTCGCCGAGCACGTCCGTGGCCTCGGAGGTTTCGCACGATGTTTTTTTCTTTTTTTTATTCGGTCATGATTACCTCGGTGATGATTGCAGGCTTTGATGTGGGATGCCAGCCTTCCATGATTACCTCGGTGATGATCTGCTTTATCTCGATGGCCAACTCCCATGGTGGCGGCGGGAGGAGGCCCTGCGATGGCCGACTCCCATGGTGGCGGCCGCCGTCCGCCTCACGCCAGTAGGTGCTCGGCCAGCCCCACATGCGACCCTCCCCCCGGGGCGGCGGCTCCCCTCAGTCTTTGGCGTGGAGGAGGAGTCGCGCATGGGGATCTTGGAGGCCGCCACGAGGGAGATGGAGAGATCGAGGGGAGTTAGCGACTGAGAGCCGCCGCAGTGCCACCCCTGGCCGGATCCGCTGGACCGGGACCGGGGAGGCCGCCGGGAGGGAGATAGGAGAGGCCGAGAGAGAGTGGGCAATTGAGAGCTGGGAGCCGCCGCAACGCCACCGAAGGCCGGATCCGGACGACGCAGGTAGCCACACGCCGCGAGCGCAACTGCGCGAGGAGCCGCCGCAATGGCACGCGCGACTGTGAGTCCGTGAAGATTTACGAGCAGAGACTTCGGTTGGGTTATTTTTTTAGTTCCGTGCGCTCCTAGAGATCAACGCGGCGTGCGGCGTGCGAGGAGGGCATGGGGTGAGAAGCCTAGCATCCCACATTGAATCGTGGCCATCGGATTTAATTTAGGTGTTTTATTAGCCCTTGATTTTAATAGAGACGAATTCTTGTGTACATTTTTCTTGGTGGATAATGGTTGGAGGCTCTCAGCAGGGGACGTTTTTCTAGGGGGACCTAGTATAATCAAATCCATTATAGTAGAGATAAGTCACCCTAACATCACATTATGTGAAATTGATGCATCCAATTGTTCAAGCTACTTCCTGACATCACATCATGTGGAATTACCAATTTTTTTTTTTTTTTGAGAATTACACAATACAATACAGACGCCCACAACACGCTTCATTTGCATAATATGAGCACGAGATCAACATCAACATGAGAGGAATTTGTGGTAATAAATTCAACATTATTCTATAACCTTTTCAAAAAAAGATAACATTATTCTATAAAATATTAACATAAATTAAAGTCAAATATACAATTCATGGTCGACTTCTCTCTCTTTCTTTTCCGGTTCATTTTGACTTTTTGAGTTTGTTGACATTTTAGATCCTCATATCAGTATTTCCTCGGTTGCCACTCTGTACATAACGCCTCAAATTCTCTGGCGCTCAAATTAATTTTCTATTTTCCTTGAAGAATTTTTTTTTTCCAGATTTACTTGAAACGTCGAAAAAAAAACTCCCAGATTTACTTGCACGTCAAACGCGAAGGCAGCCACCAGCCCAACCGAAAACCGCCGCCGCTTCCAACTAATTTCGATTCGTTCCCCATTCTCTGGCCGGCCCACGGACCATCCCAAGAGCACGTTTGCCACCAGTACTCCGACCATGTCACGCGAACGCGCCCGCCTTGGTTGAAGAAGCTGAAGCGGATCAGAGCTCGGGAAGTCCCACCCCTGAGGCCGCGACCTCTCTGATCTATTCGACGAATTCCCCACAGCTTTCCTCGAGCGGACGAGGCCTGGGAGCTGGAGCGCTTTATCGGGAAGTGTTACGATCTCAACCAGCTGCTCACTCGATCTACGACGTCGCTCGAGCGCCCCCGGCTCCGTCCCCTCAACCAGCTCGTCACCACCGTCGCTCGCGCCCCGGTCTCCTCCATCGTGCGCGAAGGCCCTGCGCTCGCCGTGTCCCTGTTCAACCGCATGGTCAAGAAGGTGGCTCCAGACATAGCTACCTACACCATCCTCATCAGTTGCTGTTGCGGTGCGGGCTGCTTGAACCTCGGCTTCGCTGCATTGGGCCAAATCTTTAAGACGGGGCTGAGGGCAGATGCCGGCATCTTCACGCCCCTGCTCAGGACCCTCTGTGCTGAGAAGAGGACGAGTGATGCGGTGAATATTGTGGTCAGGCGGATGCCTGAGCTCGGCTGCACCCCCGATGTCTTCTCCCACACCACACTTCTCAAAGGGCTATGTGATGAGAAGAAATGTGAAGAGGCTGTCGAGCTGATCCACATGATGGCTGAGGATGACAACTGCCCACCTAATGCAGTGTCCTATACCACTGTAATCGGTGGCTTCTTTAAAGAGGGTGAGATACGGAAAGCTTACACCCTGTTTCGTGAAATGCTCGATCATGGGATCCCTCCAGATGTTGTGACCTGCAATTCAATCATTGATGGCCTATGCAAGGTTAAAGCAATGGACAAGGCTGAGGAGGTCCTTCGGCAGATGATTGACGAACATATTATGCCTAATTGTACTACATATAACAGTCTGATCCACGGATACCTCTCTCTTGGACAGTGGAAAGAGGCAGTTAGAATTCTCAAAGAAATGTTCAGAGATGGGCAACGACTTGATGTTGTTACTTACAATACGCTGATAGACTGTCTCTGTAAATCTGGATTGCGCGCAGAAGCTAGAGAAATATTTAATTCTATGATTCAGAGTGGCGAAAACCCCAATGTCGCCACCTATAGAAGTCTGCTTCATGGGTATGCTACCAAAGGAGATCTTGTTGAAATGAATAATCTTTTAGATTTGATGGTACAAAATGGAATGCAACCTGATCATCATACCTTCAACATACAGATCCATGCATACTGTAAATGCGGAAGGTTAGATGAGGCAATGCTTACTTTTAACAAAATGCGGCAGCAAGGATTGACACCAAACATAGTCAGCTATGGGACGATAATAGATGGTCTTTGCAGGATAGGCCGGCTGGACAATGCAATAGCACATTTCTGCCAGATGACTGATCATGGATTGTCTCCCAACATCATAATATATAGTACTCTAATTCATGGTTTTTCTATGCACGGCAAATGGGAGAAGGCTGAGGAACTATTTTATGAGATGATGGATAGAGGCATTCGTCCAACTGTCGTTGTCTTCACTGCAATGATAGACAAGCTATTCAAAGAAGGAAAGGATACGGAGGCCCAAAAACTCTTTGATTTGATGCCAATTGCCAGTGTAAAACCTAATGTGGTTTCCTACACTACAATGATTCATGGATATTTCTTGGCCGGTAAACTGGACGAAGTGCTGAAGCTCCTTGATGATATGCTCTCGGTTGGCTTGAAACCTGATGCTGTTACCTTTAATACTTTACTTGATGGCATGCTTTCTATGGGCTTGAAACCCAATGTTGCTACCTGTAACACTTTGATTGATAGCTACTGTGAAGATGGTAGGATAGAGGATGTATTGACTCTTTTCAGAGAAATGTTGAGCAAGGCAGCTAAGACTGACACTGTCACGGAAAATATAATTTCCTGAGTGTTATTTCAGATTGGAAGGACTGGCATTAAGATGGAACTCAACCTGAAGATGACCAAAGGAGGAAAACAGGTTCTTAATCTTAAGTAGGACGTGTTATGTTGCTCTTAGGTGATTTGGAAGTGTCATCATTCTGGAGAAGCTAAGCTATGGTTTCTTATCTACCCTGTAGTATGTATATGATAGATCTTATCATTGTAAATTTTAGTATTGTGATGCTGCAAGTCTGAACTTTTGTTAAGTATGAATGAGGGGAGTCCTTGCAATAAGGCCTATCATTGTATCTGCATCCTTTGGCTTTATTTGTTTTTAGAGCAATAGCCTTTATTAGTTTGCGGAAGAAATTCCTTTTTTGTTTTTGTACTCTTGAGGAGTTCAAGAAGACCTGGTCCTTAGTCTTGTGATGAAGTCTTCTGATTTTAAGACATGTTTAGAGTTTAGACTAAAGTGTCTGCTTCTTTGTCACTGTTTCAATGTTGTACTTTTCCTCAAAGCTTTGGAGGTTGTTGCACCAGCAGGAGTCAGTTCATACATTTGGGAAAGCAAGTCTACAATGAAGCTTACAATGCGAGTTATTTCAGTAAAAGTGATCTTGTTCTAGGTTCCCAGAACTAATCAAAGTAACCCAACAAAAGCATATCAACGACAACGAGCAAGTACATATGAATGGAGGGCATAGTTACCAATAACTCAAGGATGGCAAGCCACTGTCAAAAAGGCTAACAAGCAAAATTAGGCCCTCGCCACGATGCTGCCGTGCACGCTTGGTTATCCAGTCCTCGCTTCCAATTAGCCTGTGGTAGTGTGGTTTGACATTTCATTCAGTTGCCACGTGTGCGGCTGGTAAATTTAAAGCACCTTAATTTGTTTCTGATTGTATGGTTCCTTGATTTTAACAGAGTCAAGTGTTATTAGGACATGTTATGTTGTGCTTAGTTGTACATGAAGATGTTTTGGAAGTGTCATCAGTCTGGAGAAGTTAAGCTGTGGTTTCTTATCTACCCAATAATATTTATCTTTTTGTTTTAACTTCCAGTGGTATTTATCTGCTGGGCCTTCTTGTCTTTGTAAATTTTAGTCCTGTCTGAATTTGGCGGCTGTTTACACCAAAATTTGGTAAGCTTTCCCTGCAAAGAAAGAGATCGGCCGATGATGTCGAATGCAAGAAAGATCTCCTAATTGATGTATATTTACAAACCGGCCGAGGAATATTCTTTAAAATATTTTGAGATAAGCATGGTGTCCAAGATCTCTTGACGTGAGGATAAGAGTCAGCTGGGAGCATGAGTTAATTTGCATATACGTGAAGAAAATTAAAGGAAGTCAGCCGGACTCCATATGTATCACGTTATACGGGCTATCTCCGATACGAATCGGTCCAGAAGCAAATATATTGATATCCAAAAGGAAAGCATACCGATTTAATTATCATTAGAAATTGGCATACGTATGGCTAGGTAAAAGCAAGCAAGCAAGATGGTCAAATTAATATACGTACGCATACATGGAATGCATGTCCTATATACCTTGCAACTACGCCATATGAAATACTATTATGGAGGAACCTCGTCGATCTAGGACATTGCAGCCGGTGCTGAAGATGGATGATGTGACGGTCGGTTTTTGGCAGAGTGCAATATATGCAGGGATTGACTGGACCTCGGACTCCAATCCACGCGTCGTGGTTCAGGGAAAGAAGGAAAGAAACACATGTGTCGGCGTGGTTACCAGGTCAGTGCATGGTTTGCCCTGGGACAAGCAAAAATAGGAGACGTAACGGAGTTGGGCTACGTATGGCCAGATTAATTAGGAAATCTTTGTGTACGTATGAAAGAGTCTTATTCTTGGACGCAAAATCCAGCAGGCCTATAAATAATAAAGGGTCAAGGCAGAATATCAATTAGTTTTCTTTTGGCTTCACGCCAACCCTTAAGAGTAGGAGCACTGTAGATCTCGACGAGTTCTTCAACAAGCAGGGCTGCATCGATCCGGTCGACCTCCGACTTGTCTGTAAGTACCGTCATGGCTTATTCTTTTGTTCGTAAGGCTGCATCGGTCCGGCCGACCTCTTATGAACTCTAGTATAAGTTAGTTATCGACCCTTATCTAGTTCAAGTACGGCTGCATTGGTTAAGTTCGACCTCCATTGCTCGAATTAGATTAAGGTCAAGTTATCGGCTCTACCTAAGGGTGGCATCATTCGGGTAGATTCATTAAGTTACCGATCTTGCTGATGTTCTTGTTGCCATGAGTTTCAGGAATATCAACCTGTCCGATCGAGATCGATCTAGATCAGCCTCACATCCTTTTAGTCCATCGTTTATTCTGTCACATTGCGATGGTTCTTACTCTAAACGATGGATTATGTTTTATCGGCTGTTCTACTTTGATCTTGATCGTGCATAGTACACGGCTAAGGCATGACTGATCTTGAGAAGGTTTACTAGCTAGTTAAATCTGGTCTATAGCTCGCTATTATGGCTGTAACGATCCGGTCGATCCCCACTGTTAACACTTCAGATCGGAGTATGCTAGTTGGTAGATTTACTTTCGACCAGACGTGACCTTGGCTGTTTGCTATGCCTGCATCGGCTAAATAGCCGATCGCCCGTACCTTAACGGTTACGGTGTGTCTTCATGATTCTGTTAAATGTGAATAGATCTATTTATTTTCAAAGGTTCAATATGTTGTCTTTATCACGACTGCCATTGATCTGGTCGAACCCCACTGTTAAGGATAACATGTCAGATCTGATGAGTTTACAGATATGTCCATATTAAATAGTCGATTGTTCACATGTTGTAATCCCTTTTCTACCCGAATCGGCTATTTTAGCCAATTCGCCTATGCTTTCACATATGTAGCATGTTTTTTATGAACATGTCAACATATAGATGGTTTTATAGATTTTTTTTGCTTTAGTTTGTTATCATCATCGTAGCTGTATTGATCCGATCGAACCTCACTATTGATGGCGACAGATTAGATTCAGGTTGTTTGTAGATTTATTTGTACTAGATAGTCGATTTGTTCGCATGCTATATATTCTCTCGTTAAACTTATCGGCTCAATGCTTTACACCGGTTATATCCACCTAGCCGATGATGTTACTTATATCTGGGTGCATTGTATTCATTACTATAAAATCAATCTTGACCCATGAGTTTTACAGTCCTTAACAGTCGATTTCTTCTCGTATCGGGTGTTTTAGTCGATTTTCCTGTCTGGCTGCTTCTGAAGCGGTGCACTTGGAACTGTCTGGGCAAAACCAACATGTTTCACCCTAAATTACTGATAAACTTTCTCCCCTTGTCAATTGTAGATCAAATTGACTGGCACGCCCTTGGGAATTCGCATGATCGACCGCTCCTGCGTTTGAAGCGAGACAGATCTCTAGATCATTCTGGCTTGCTGTAACAGAACCGACCAATTATACGAAATTAAGTAAGAAAATCATCCGCCAGAGCAGACGATTTAGCAAACTTAAGACCGTATAACCCGGTAGTCCGTGAAATCGCGAAGGATTTCAAACCAACTTCCATTCCAGCCAAGATCGTAATAAGTTTAGCGGTCACCATCACATATTACATAAAAGTTCGCAATCTCAGATACATCAGAGTTTAAACATAGTTATTACAAACCCGTTCGAATAAAAGTAGCGGAAGCCATTTGTTCAAACCACACACACTCACGCGGAGTTCAAATATAGTGCCAGCGAATGATCATCTCCAACAAAAGCATTAGACGAGACGTAAGGAATGACCATGCCCATGGTCCTAAGCATCACCCATCGCAGGATAAAGGCAGTTGATACAATAGCCGTAATACATCTGCCCATCTGCAACAAGTGGGAATAAAACCCTGAGTACGAGAAGGTACTCAGCTAGACTTACCCGACATAACCGAAAATAAATGACTCCAAGGATTATGAAGGCTTTATAATAGGGTAGCTGACTCATTTGCAAAAGAAGCATTTTTAGCATTTTAAGAACCTTTCTAAAAGCATTATTGTCAAGTTAATTAGTATTAACCTGTCGACTAGATTTGCACCTATACTAGAGTAAACATGTGATTAAGCAATTAATGATAACCACTGATCATTAAACAACTTCCATCTTGTCATATTCACTATAACCGTCCAAGTGTTCCATAAACATTTACTACGATGAAGTCACTCAAGTCAAGTGCTCACTATCCGAGAGCGATGGCGATTCGAATCGATTCCTAACCACCGGTGATTTATTCCTTACACAAATCTCACTCACCCGCTAAAGTGAGATATTGATCACCGAGTCAACTTTCCGGTATCTCGAGTTTGCCAGAACCACATGTACCGGGGCCGACCGATCGCACTTTGGTCTTATCATCCGCCCCGTGTCCTACCACACCGCCCGCACAAAGTCGTGGCTGGGCAATCTACTCGGCCCGAAAAATCTTCCACTTCAGCGGTCGGAAGGTACTTTATCCGGCCAGACTAAATGTAAGGCATGCGTTCAACATGACTCGAGGCCCAACAACGGTCGGTCCTTAATCGACCGACGGAAACACTACAGTCCAAAACTCGCAAGTCTCCGCCCGGTCTCAACTTCATTTAACACTTAGTTATACCATGACTTCATAGCCATCCAAGCAGATCCGGTAACCACCTATAGCTCGCAGTGACAGAAATCACCCGACTTCTACCGGTCTAAGCCAAATAAGCATTGACTCATCAAGGATACCGTGGTAACAAGGATATAGTATAACAAAGGTAAACAAGGTATAATGCAACAAACGTTGCAAACAACTCCTGAACGTAATGCATCAATTTAAAGTAAAGCATTTAATGAAATCATTGCAAACCGGGAGAAAGATGCTCGGGGCTTGCCTCTCTCGAAGGAGCTCTCAAGCGGTGATCGGGGCACTCCGGAAGTTCTTCAACGTCCTCCTCGTCCGCTTCGGCACTTCCTCTTCTTTGCACTCGAACGCTCCTCGGGCTCCTCGGGAATGATGACTGGGT